CATTCAAAAGTGACCATTGAAACTTAACTGAACTAAATATCGTGATGAGAGTTTCATTACATAGCACAACTGGTGGAAAATAATGAACTGTTTCCCACCAGTGTTTCTGTTCATCATTTACTGATGCTATTATGAAACTTGGAGTGAAAAAAAGGTTGGTACATCACACAATGCGCTTGTCAGCTGGGCAATAAACAGAACTTCTGAAGGGCTGCTTGTGTTTCCGTAAGATCCAAACTTTGAAGAAGTAGAGGGCATCGTCTTACCTCTCCATGTTAGATCTGTTCACAGTTTGGAGAACTTCAATATGCTTCGAAAGACTCACGTTTAGTCCATGGCATTCACGTTAAGTAAAGCCTCACAATGTGACTTATCTGCACTTTTATTGTTTTATGAGATGATTTTATTACTTTGTTTTTACCTAACTATTGCTGCTTGTTTGTTGTTTCTACTCTGTTGGAGCAAAGGCAAACATTTAGTCCAGTTCTAAGATCTTAGACCAACATGTTCAAACACCACATCCATCCACAGGTCATGATCATCTACATCAGTCCTCTTATTGAACCAAGCGCTATACTGCTAAATCATTCAATTCACTGGACAAGAATGTGTCATCTCAAACCTAAAGTGAGCAAAAGTAATGGTGAAGAGAATAAAGTATAGTGGCCCAAATATACCAAAACCGTATTTATATCACAAATGACTTGAATGAGATAACTGTAGGTCAATATGAAAGAAGAGGGCTGGGGAGGTCTCACCATTAACAGAACATTGACAAAGTTTGTAATGAAAATGTGGTTACTGTTGCCTTGCAGCAAGGAAGGTCCTGAGTTCAAATCCCAACCTGGACTTTTTTACATGCAGTTTACATGCTCCCATGTTGTTTCTCTCCAGAGTCCTCCTAAACACGTATATGCTGGGCTAACTGGCCTTTCCAATTCTTTCTCAGGTGTAAGTACGTGAACAGCTGCTTGTCCTGTGCGTTTCTGTTTCCTTGTGATTAGTGACATTGAAGATAAGCAGATATAGATAACTGTTTGGATAGATGAGAATTGTCACTGAGTGCAACTTTTCTGTCCACAATTATCTTCAAATCAACACCTTTATTGAAGACTGCAGATCAGGGATGTCCACCTCACTTTCTTTTTGGGCCTTTGAAAGATCTTGAATGTTCTCAAAGGGCTGTTTGTGTCCCCATTAACAAACTATTAAAATATTAATGGCTGTCTGCATTCGATGAGTACTTCTTAAAATCAAACATCTTTTCATATTACTGTAATAGGGCGGAATACAGATGTGATCCGTGAATCCTGCAATACTAATAGGACTTCTATTGAATAAAACTAAGTACAATTTTGATGCTCATATCCAACACATTTACCTAATAAGAAGTCTATCCAGCCAATTATTTCCATCCAAACATGATTTAATAAAAAAATTGGTTCTTCCCAATGTGTGTAGTTGTGACAAAGGAAAAAAAATCCCAATTACCTTCATGCTTAAAGTGATCCTGTAAGAAGAGTAAATCTTCAGTATATTGTGCAGCTCTAATTCTAAAACATCTGAGTTTTAAGCTCAAGCTAACGTTCAAGAATTCTGATGATCACCAGATATCTTTGTTCCAGATATTTTGATGTTGCAACTACATAGAAGAGTAAGAAGAGTTCATCAGAGTGTTTTAGTGTTCTTCCTGAAAACGGTCAGTTTACAGAAAGAGTCCAAAGCACTAAAAGCAGACAGAACATTACATCCCAGCCACAAGCGTAAGCTATTTACATTTTTAAAGAGAGCTGGACGACTACAACAAGGAGGAAATTCCTTAGAACAAGGAGGCGTCTGTAAACAACGAAGCATTAAGTCAACATACAGTAATAAATATTAGATTCCATGCAGGGCATTTTATCAGAGATTCAACTTTATTGGTAGAGTTCTAGAACAATATTAACAAGTAGGTTTTATTTTGCAGGGAGTAAAGTTGGGTTGTAAAGCGATTTTCAGTTTGAAAGGACTGGGCACAAATTTCTTTCATTTCCTTCCAAAAACTGATTCACATTTTTCAGTAAAAAACAGAAATGGGGAGAAAACACAGAAACGCAAGAACCCGTTACTCTGAACCGTAAATAATTTAAAAAAAACAAAACAAAAAAAGCTTTTAGTGTGTCCAACTTTCTGTGAATCTGGAGTCAGTGATGCAGCAGGACACGATAATACTTGCAGTTTTTCTCATTAAACAGCGACTGGGAGCACAGAGGAAGAGAAAGGGCGTGTAGATATGAATCAGAGCGGGAAATTATCACCAGCCACAGTCATAAACCAGAAGACGGCTTTCATTTTAAACAGCCTCTTGTTGGCCTCTGCAGTCTGTATAGGAGTCACTTTGGGATGCAGACATGAAGGCAGGTCTATGGTTTACTTTTGCATGAAGCTGATGAAAATATTTAAAGAAAAGAAAATCTGCAATCCTGTTTCAAAAACTGGAGGCAACTTGGCATCCTTGAGAAAATGGAGGTGGAAACTATTTGCATTCTCCCTGAGCTACAAAGGTCTCTTAGGGCCTACCTTCATAAATAGAAAATAAATATTGGCCAAAAAAACTCATATTAATCTTAGAAATGTTCTTGTCACACCATCTTATCTTTAAAGAGTTTAAAACCAAACTAATCAAACAAAACCAAATGCACAACTGGGTGCAAAAGTGTAAACCATGCTACTTTAATTGTACACTAATATTTTTTATGTTTGTATTCAACAAACAGCTGCAGTATTTTTTTTTATTTAAATATTCACTTTGAGATAGAGGAAGCAAAAATAAAAGTTTTCCCTAAGATCTGCATATGAAAGGGAGGGGCGAGCAAAGCGGAAAATCTTGATTTTATCAGACATCCCTAAATAAACGCTTGACATTCCTGTATGTGTGACTCCGTATCGGACTCTACAGCTTTTTAAAAAAAAAAACGTCAAAGATGATGGACACCACTAATAATCTAATTGGAATCACTATAGAATCTACATCTTTAGGCGTTTTCACACCTGATAGTTCTGTTCAATTGGAGACCAATGTTCTAACATTTGTTGCATTTTCAGCTGGTCAGGTTCTCTGTCTCACTGCACTGTGTCCAACAAACCAAATGCTTTGCAAAGCCTATTCCCTTTCTCACCTTTGGTGGCGCTGCACTAAGAACCACTGAAGCAAACCACAACCAAACCTCTGAAGAAGACACTGAGCGCGCCTTCCTTCTTCACAAAATGTAAACAAAATGAGTAGCATCAGATTTTTCTGGTTGGAGAATTTCTCTCCAACCAGACTACGACCTGTTTTTACCATTTTACGTTCCATAACCACAAGTCACGTTTGTTGTGGTTGAATTTACCCAGAATGCCACACACTACAGTCTGGTTCCTGCTTTCGGTCTCCGGTTGCATTCACATATTCCAGTTGAATTCACATATTCATTCGAACCGCAACAGACTTCATTTCAACCGAACCGAGGACTAGGGTTTTAGGCGGACCAGAGTTTATTTCAGAGGAAATCAACGTCAGACACAAGTTACTATGTTAGGCGAATCTTTAACTTCATCACCGACACTTGGCTGAAATTGAAGTTGGGCAGCAATTTCCAGTTTGTTAAGTTGAGCTGTAAATGCAGCACGGACTCTGACTGGGGTGCCAAACATTAATGTGGAAGAAGTCAGCTGTGTTTAAATAGAACATTATGCTTACAGGAAAGAGTGACACTGACTGATATGAAATCTCTATCCTCATGTCACATCTGCATATTTCACAGAAGAGAGGCAGGAAGCGGAACATCATCATTACCATTATTGTTATCATAATAAAAAGAGAAGTAATGTGTAAAGTTTGCCAAAAGTAATATAGAGAACACGGCAAATGGGTCAGGAGAGGATGAAATTTGACTTTCTGGTCTTCATGCAAAATTACATGTCGTTTCCAAACAAACACTGCGTGACACTCTGAATACACCACGCATGGTGGTGGGAGTATCATGCTGTGGAGAGACTATTCTTTGGCCGGGACAGAGCTGACTGGGGAAATGAATGGAGCTAAACACAAACACACCAAAACAAAAACCACTGGAATAAAAAAAACTGCTAGACAGTTTGGGTTCACCTTCCAACAGAGCAGCCATCCAAACCACAGAGTCAGAGCTACAATAGTTTAAAACCAATGGTAACCTAAGTCCAATGAAGAATCTGTTAAAAATGGCATCAACAGCTGCTCTCCATACAGTCAAAGGGAACTTGTGTTAGTTTGCAATGATGGATTTGCAAAAATGTAAATTTCTAGTTGTGCAGACGACATGCTGGTCTACAAAATGCTGACTCAGTGGGGCTAAATACAAATGAACGCCAGATTTTTATTTATTTATTTTTACACATTTTTGTCTGTAAAAATTATTATTTTTTAAAAACTCTTCCTTCCACTTCAATTATGTGTCATGGGGTCTATCAAATAAAATGTTATTGTGACTAAAGACAAAATATTCAATTTCTCAGGTAGGGGGGTGGTAAACTTTTGCAAGACAATGTTGAGCCCTTTAATTGCATCACTGTCACGAGGCCAACAGGCAGAGTTTTTCAGCTGTGACAGGAGGGAAGCAGTTGCATGCTGTGCAGAAAAGTCCCAACATTTCGCACGTCAAGTGAAGAGATGAAGGGGAAGTATATGCCAAGTAAAAAACAAACAAAAAAAACACAACATTTTAAAATAGTATGCTAGGAAATGACGTCCAGTAAACTAGCGTTTCAGACCAAAGGTCTGTTAACGAGACAACCTATTGCCGAGTCCCAGGAAAGCCATTTTACTCTGTTTACTTCTTTTACACACAGAGACATAATAAAAATAATAACAAAGAACAGGACAGAACAGATGTCAAGGGATAAATATATGCCATGGTAACAGCAGCAGAGTGACGCAGGCCAGGCGAGCCGAACGTTTTCACATTTTCTACACTTTAAAAAAAAAAAAAAGGAAGTCTCACCTCCTCGTCCACCGTTCCTGGCCGACCCTCGGTTATGCGAGTCTTCCCAGTATCTCCCCACACATCCTCCCATGGTTGGAGGTCTGCGCTCTCTCTCCGCGGGGTTTTTTACTCGATGAACCGGGAGGTCATAGTGGACCAGGACGACGAACTAAGTCCGACACGGAGGGAGGCAGGTGGCAGGTAGAACGTTCTGACCCCGATATTTCATCCGTATCCACAATGTGGGTATCCAGTGAAGGCGTTCCAAAGCTCGCAGTAGATTTTTAAAGTCAGTTTCAGCGCTTTCACGACTTATAAGCGAACCGTTTATTTGTTTAAACTTCAACAACACAAGATGAACTGTTATTTTAGAATGTAAGAACCAATGTGCCTATATTCCAGCTAACATTGCCCATTAAAGATAGTTGCGAAAGGGTCGCAACGCGCAGCTTTCACGCTAACAAGCTAACCGAGCTAACTAGTTAGCCTCTCCAACATCAGTAAACACAAACTTCAGCTGACCAACATAATTTCCCCGCGTGCTGGAAGTCCCACAAGTGCGAGGGAGGTAGTTTAGATTCCCCCCCTCCGAAGCTCGGAGAGAAGAGGCACTGTTGTCCCCAGAAGCTATTTCCAACGCAGTACGTCTTTAAATATCGAAAACGTCTCTTCTCGCTGGTAAAAGGTGACTTGAAGCGGTGAGCTAACGCCACCGAACTTTTCCGGGACGCATGCGCATGAGCGCGCAGGTGGGTTCGTTGTTAAAGGTAACTGCTGTGTTTCCCCTCGCAGCACTCTTGAACGAACAGCCCTTTTGGTCACACCCTGTTAACTCTATTTATTATACAGTTGGTAAGAAAGAAAAAGAAAAAGAAAAAAAAGACGAAGTAATTTCACTCCGTTTCGTTATTTTTTCTTTTAATCAATTTGACACTTCCATTGTACATAAACTCAAAAGGAAATGGTGAAATTTTAGCCTATTTATACACAGCGAACAGAAAAAAAGAGACAAATAGAGATAAACTAAGAGAATTAAAACGAAGCTTCTCTAAAATCTCATTTTTACTTTGCATTATTTTCTTCCGTTAACCTAAGATTTAACTGAAGTCAGATTAACCGCATATATATTGAACATATATCTTAAAACACTTAACGCTTACTTTAAATCATTAATTTCAGTATGTTTTGAATTACATCTCAGTTTATACTTTAGGTTCATAAAGTATGCCATTTTAGGTGCCTTCATAATGTTTGACTATTTTTGTTAAAATGTCAAAGAATATAAATAATAATAATACCTGTCCTTATAGTGCAAATTGGTGTAATGTTGTTTAACAAAATAAATAATGTGTTCGTACCTCAAAATATCAAACATTTACAATTTAGTGACACTAAATTTGGCAGGTATTTTCAGTTTTACATCTCTTCGAATACGATCTGTTGTTTTCAGTTTTTTAACTAAAACACAGAAGCTGTCTTCACCCGATCCAGTTCCAGATGTATGATATAAGATCTGTTAGTGAACGGCATTAGCTCCAGTTCACACACACGTAGCGAATCCAAACCATCCCAAAATTGTGACTCTTTAAAATTTCTCTGTTTAATTGCGCTATTGTTCTTTTCTTGCAGCTTTCTGTAAAGTGCAGTGGTTCAGTTAATGGGAATGTTTTGTCATTTATCCTCACTGTCAGAAATGTCAGTTTGTCTGGGCGTAATACTGTGATACCGAATCTGTCCTTGGTGAAACATTTTGCACATTTCCTCTAAAGTGTACCTGTTGTTTTACTGTGCTAATTTTCATAAGCATGCTGTCTGTAAACTTTGAATGTATTAACATTTTGCACAATTCTGTGATAGCATATTGGTAATATACTCCTGGAAAATGTGGATAAGACTGTTTTTGACTGGGTTTGAATAAGACTGACATGATACTGTTATAAACATAACACCTGTTAGGAACATATTAACCGGTGTCATGAAGTGTCATTTAGTAAATAGTTACACTTTTAATGAGAAGTTGCTTTAAAAGTTGAATGAAAGGTGTTATGTCACGTTTATGACAGCGTCATGTCAGTCTTATGCACACCCCGTCAAATATTGTGTTACCAAAATGGTAATATATTGAAAGCACAATGTCATTAGTTTCACCTGGAAAGTGTGCTGTAATGGATCTTTCTGTGTTCTGGCAGCCTGATGTGTTTGCAGTACTGTAGTGTGTATGAAACATGTAATGTACAAAGTGGCAAAGCAGAATAATTAAAGACATTAAGTAACTAAAAACTGTACTTATTAGCAATTATAATAAACCAAAAGTGTAATTGTAGCATACTCTAATTGCACTAATAATATATAAAATATGCGACGCCAATATACTTAAAATACATTCAAAGTATATTTTAAATGTCATTCAATCACAAAATAGTACACTCAAAATGTACTGATCAAGCACGTTTATATTACATAGAAAGCAATATACTTAAAGTATACTAATTGTCACTTAAGTTGTCTAAAATGTATGTTGAAGTAAACTTAGTACACTTTAAATTGTGCTTTAATACATTTTAAACACTATTAAAGTACACTAAACAAAACAAAAAATTAGTTGTTCCAAAATGTCACACTTTAAGTTGACTAAACCTTAAGTGAACTTGAAGCACAGTCATGATTAGTCTGACTTAAAGTATGCTCAAGTATGTTAAAATCTAACATGCTTAGTATTGTATATTAATTTTTCATCAGGGTACGATCTCATCTGTCACATGAAAATGGAATCTGATCATTATTTTCTTTATTTTTTAACAGTCATTCTCTGATGACAAACAGATTTCTTTTCACAAGTGGAGCATTACAGTGTTTGCTATAACACTCTGCTTGCATATGTAATAAATTAGAACTCAGTTCCAGTGAGTTTCGTTTGTACTAAAAAGTGCCTTTTAAAAATTGACAGCCCCTTGGCAGCTATTAAGCATAATTTTTATTCAGCCCACATTACTGTAACAAAATTGTTGTGATGTAATATTCTAATTTCAAATGGCATGTTATTATGAGGTGTAAGTGGAAAACCACCTGTGTGTAAAATAATGTGTTTCACTGAGTGATCAGGTTCCTGAAGTAAACTGAACCCGGACTTTCCAATAACATTTGAATTTACAAAGTTATAGATTATGGAATATTTTTTCACTCGCAATGGCGGAAAAGGGCTTCCGTGCTTTTTCCACTAAACATGTTTGGAATTCAGACAGTACGTGAATGCATCACCCCTTTCAGAAGATGTTGAACATCCTTTTAGATTTCAGAAATACGTTTCTTTCTAAAAGATAAACATGTAGCTTAAGGGGTAACTGTTTACTTGTTCTGTCATCAGTTTTATTCGATGGAACTTCACTGACAATGTTAGTTGGTCTTATCGACCTGAACTTCTCGCGCATGCGCAATCCCCAGCGGCGTGACAGAGACACGATGGCTGCAGAAAGTCCTTTGCTGCTGTCTCTGGTGGAGGAATTTGTCTCAGGACTTCAGGACAGCAAGGCGAAGGACGCTGCGGCAGGTAAGCGAGCCTTCTTCGTACTTTGGTTGGTGTTACAGGAAACGAGTCAGTGTGAAAGAATCGCAGGGAGGCTGCAGAGCTGCCCTCTAAGGATGTGCAACACGGCAATGCTGCGTTAACTAGCTAACTTAGCACCACAACATCCTGTGTGGTGACACTGCAGGCGCGCGATATACAACAACTGCGCTTGGAAACTCCTATATGCTATTATTTTTCATTAAAGCAGCGCGTCACGAGGAGTTTTATTTTGTGCTGTCACTTGACAATGAGCCGCGGTTTAACCGCATTTTGCCTGCCTGCCTGACTGTTAGCCGTTGCCGCTGGTGCGTTTGTGTCCGCGTGGAGGACAACAACAAAAAATGACCTTTGATCCCACCGCTGCTGCTGGGTTTACGGTAGCTGACAATAGACAACATTGTGCATGTTTGTTTGGAATATGGTGACTGAACTTGTTTTTGTATCTTCAGGTGTCAAAGATGGACATTTTACCGTCCTGCAGCTGGTGGAGGCACTTGGGTGAGGAGCACTTTCAACAGAGACCACTAATCAGTCTTTTGTTTTTGTTTGTTTAGACTCATTCAACCAGTGTTTATTTCCATATATTTTAGAAACTTCTGAAGTAAAAATGTGGATATAGTTGCAGCACCTGTGATAACAGCTTTTCACTTCCCCTCAGTTTCAGGGAAATGTTTACATACCGTTGATCTGACCAGAACTTGAGCTACAATGGCAAAAAAAACAAAAAAACAACAAAAAAAAAACAATATTAATCCCTCTGAATGCTGTGCATTTTATTGCTTTTAAAAATCTATCATGATCAACAAAATTAGGCTTTTTTGATTAAAAAAAACTACAAAAAACAAAAAAAGACAAGCAAAACTCTCATGTCCTAGTGGAAACTGAAATGGTCCAGAGGAGCCTAGTCAAAGCCCACACTTCAACCCCAAGGAGAACTTGTGGCTGGACTTAAAATGGTTGTTTAGCATGAAGAATGGAGGAAAACTGTAGTGTGGTTGAGACCAGTCCTCTCATCCCTTTCTGTTCCAACCATGTGAATATTATTTTATGTTAAATATTTAAACTTAACTGTGATTGTTTTCTCGAAATCAGTTTGACATTACAGGCTTTTTTAAAAATGATAATTTTTTTGTCAAAAAAGCCTAATTTTGTGTGCATCTTTGTCAGTGTTTTTTTAGTGGTTTATGCAAAAATAAAGACTTTGATGAAAAAAAAAAAGCCTAATTTTGTTGATCGGGATTCCTTTTTGTAACAGCAACAAAAGCGTTAAAAAAAACAACAACAAAAAAATGAGATAAACAGAATTTCTGCTGTTGCTGCTGCAGACAGAGCCTGACCAGCTCCCAGCCTCACACTCGGGCCCGAGGGGTCCAGCTGCTCTCGGAGGTCCTCCAGGACAACTACGGGGCGCTAACAGAGACAGAAGGTACACACCGTCCGCCTTCACTCCTCTGCTAACGTAGGAAAATGAAAGAGACTTGTCGGACATTTAGTTTTTTAGCCGAAGTGACGAGTTTCCCTCCTCCACAGTCGAACTGCTCCAGGCCTTCTACGAAAACCGCCTGAAGGACCACTACGTCATCACGCCGCCGGTGTTACGAGGGCTGCTGGCGCTGGTGAGTTTCTGCTGGGTGCGTTTACAGCAGCAGCAACTTCTTAGAAATAAAACGACAAAAGTGTGAAAGAACTAACTAATCATGTATTTATTTATTTTTTCTCTCCAGACTAAATCCAGGAAGCTGCCTCCTGGTTCGGCTGTGTCGATGCTGAGGACCGTGTTTCAGGATGTTCACGTACAGGTGAGACCTAACACAGTAACCAATTTTACTGGCCAATAAATTGTTCCAGAAGTTCTTGTGATAAACGATTTAATACCATTTCCAGTAATGTTTATTGTTTATTCAGGAAGATTTTATTTAATCTTCCCAGCATCCATCTGATAACACACAAAAATATTCATACAACAGAGGAGAGCAATTCAACATTCCACATATAATATGACAAAGTTAGCCGGATACCACATTGTACAGATTTCACACATAAACCTGGATTAAGATGTAATATCAATAAGTTTTCATTTTTCTTTAAAAAAAGTTTACGTAATTTATTCCATTATCTCAAAAGATTTTTGTAACAAGATTGACTTAATACAGTTTACAATTAGTAAATTAGCAATAAGTGCTAATTTCGTAAATGATGTGGAACTGGAAGACATTTGAAATCCCCCCAAAAAACAATAAATAAAACAGAAGTAAACACCAAACACCACCAAAACTGTTACGAAAAATGTCTTGTGATTTTCCTGTAAACAAAATTTTCCGTGCTCATTTTGTTTCATTATTTGATAAGTTGATTAATTGCGAATTGCAGCAGACAATAGACTGTGCCAATTTTACTTCCAAAGCAAAATTTTAGTATTTTCTCTGCATGAGTACAATTATTCTTCATTGCTCTTTCAATTTGAGCCATAGCAGCAAACTGTAACCGCCGCCTGCTTTCCCCGTTTGTCCTCATTCACTCACGCAAAATCTGACCACACTCTTTCTAGCCTGAGTGGTGTTCTTCTTGCTTTGCTCTTCGCGGCACTTCCTCTTGAATGAAATATGCTTTTAAGCTCAGATGAATCTCGTCTGACTTGTTCTACAATCTGTTTGTGTCGTCCCCTCAGTCCCTGATGCTTGCAGAGAGAGCGTGTGTCTACAACATGCTCATCAACCTCATGGAAAGCAGGGAAGACGGTAAGAGAAATTCATGATCCGTTTTTTTTTTTTTTTTTTATGCATGTTTGAACAATTCCTCCCTTTGGTTTTGGATGCTGTGCAACTGGTGTGACGCGTAACCATGGTATCAAGCTCTTGTTTTAGTATCTCAAAAGCTCAACTAATACCTGCTCTTAAGATTTGTTGAAATGACAGATTTGCTCAGCAACAACTGATGATGTCATCCAGGATATGTTACTGTGGAATATCTTTGCTGCTGTTGGCATGTCAGAACAGTCACCAAACAATAGCTTGATTTGCATTACAAATGTGGGCAAAACTTTGTCAATATTCGGCTAATGTTGAAAAAACAGTTCCACAATGGTGGTGTTTCCATCAAATAAGAAACGCAATTAAAATCACACGTGAATGAGTTTGTTCAAGCGATAAGTCATTGAAAAACACGCTGCATCATCATCCTCCAACTACTTCCTATCGTCTTCTTCTTTGTCACTTTCGCCCGTAGTAACATCCTGTTGCTGATCACGTGACTCGTGTGATTCATAGAAAGTGTCTTTTGTTTTGCAAAACTGCAAAAGTGTATTTTGCACTTTTTTTCTGTTTGTACCACTTTCAATCTTTCCGCAGAACTGAAGGGTTTGGGTGCAGATTTTGTTTTTGGTTTCGTCCAATCGATGGACGGCGAGAGGGATCCCCGCAACCTTCTGTTGGCCTTCCAGATCGCCAGAAACATCGTTCTGCGGGGATACAGCATTGGTGAGAGACATTGGGACCAGACTTGTCGTTGTTCCTCTCTATGCCGTCATTTGACTGTTATGGCTCCCATTATGTTCCGTCTCAGACAAATTCAGCGAGGAGCTGTTCGAAGTGACGTCCTGCTACTTCCCCATAGATTTCTCCCCGGTGAGTTCCTGTTTATGCAGGCGGTTAGAACGTGTGGCCTGTTAGAGAACGGGAGCGTGACAGACTGACACACTAACACAGCGCTTGCCTTTAATTCTGATGGTGAACAGCTGCAGCACATTAGCAGAGATAGAACTATTCATAGTGGCCAATTTGATGTGAAATGAAGAGTAGGGGAGGTTTGTAATGCGTTTGGTGATTATTTATTAAATGTTTAGATGCCATTTTTTTGTCAGAATAGGTTTATAGATTTTATTTATTCCTAATTCTAAATTAATATCTTATTAGTCCTTGAGTGTTTTATTAAGATCTCTACTGAGGGAGGAATTACACATCAGAGTGCCAACCCAGTCATTTATTTACAGGAATTATAGTACATATTATTTTTGTCTGAAAAGTAACTAAATACAGCAATTTTTCAGACAAAAAATAATCAGCATTGGCCAAATGAGGAATCATTGGCTCAAGAAAACCGCAATCGGGTCACCCCTAATCCAGAGACTGTGATTGTTGAAGGTTGTCAGTCGTTAGTTGATTTCCAAGTTCATGTTTTTTTGTTGTAGCTTTTGTCGTCTGTCAGTGTGGTAGATGGGAGTTGACAGCAAAATTGTCTCAAAAAGCAATAAATCAATTGGTCATATGCTAAGTTAAAAGTGCAGTAGCAGTTTCTGTCAATTTCTAGAACATGGCTTCATCAGTTAGCTTCTGTAGTCTCATCATGTCTCTTCCCCCCCTCCCCTCACCGTGTCCAGCCACCCAATGACCCCCACGGCATCACCAAAGAGGAACTGATCCAGGCGCTGAGGGCCGTCCTCACCGGAACCCCCAAGTTTGCAGAGGTACAACGTCGTTACCCCACGCACACGGCGAGCCGTTGCGGAGCCTGAACGGGTTTCTGTCTTCCAGTTCCTGTTGCCGCTCATCATCGAGAAGCTGGACTCAGACGTCCAGAGCGCCAAGCTGGACTCGCTGCAGACCCTGGTGAGAAATGCTTCAGAGTCGCGTCGCAGTCAGCCGGGATTTAACGGGACGGTTTAACTGGCGTGTTGTGCCCGCTGCATTTCAGGCTGCCAGCGTGGGACAGTATGAGCACAGAGACTTGGCTGATTTCCTGGAGGGACTGTGGAGCTCGCTGCGCAGAGAGGTTCGCTGCAAACACTCTTCTTTTCAACTCTTTCTTCTTCTCTGCAAAAACACAAAATCTCACCAAGTATTTTTAGGCTGGTTTCTGTCTTAAACTTGAATTAAGATAAGTCTAACTTTCAAGTAGCTTTTCAGCAAAATATAAGAGTTAATTTTAAGTCAATATTTCCTTAAAATTGATGAAGAAGGACTAGTTCCACTGACGGATTATTTCATTGATAGCAAGACAATTTTCCCGTGTTAAAAGTGTAATAATCTGCAAATGGAACTTGTATTTTTTCAGCAGTTTTAAGGAATTATTGACATAGAACAAGCTCTATTATTTTTCTGAAGCATTACTTGAAAGTTTTTTGTTTTTTTTTTTCATTTCAAGCATGATAAGATATTTGCGCTAGAAACCAAACCAAACATACTTGGTAAGATTTTGTGTGTTTTGCTGTGTTAAATTGTGTTTCACTTCAGCTTTAGGATGTAAAGCCATTTTTTGAGATGAGTTTTAAATCCATGTTTTCCATCAGCTCAACCTAATGTGTATGTGTGAGGGTTTTTATTAGTTTTTTTTAAGACCCATAATCTCTGGTTGCCTTTTGCTGTAGGTGTTTCAGACATCCAGCGAGAAAATTGAGGCGGCTGCCCTCGCCGCCGTCACCGCACTCGCTTCCTGTCTGTCTCGCTCTGTTCTCAACTCTGACTCTGAAGACTCCCTCAGCTCCTTCCTGGGTCTGGTGCTCAGAGGTGAGCTGAGCTACGTACAATGAAGATCTCAAGAGGGGAAATAAAAAGTGTGAATGGCAGAAAACATAAATAAAAAGTTGTTAGGGAGGCTGGTGAGTTACTAAAAAAGTAGACTTATTTCACTTTTAGATAAGAAGAAAAGGAAGGTTAGAATCTTTTTAAGATGTGTAACTTTGCAAACATTGCTATTTATTTTTATTTCACCTTTCGAAGAGGTGGCGGCCGAAACTGCTGCTGTGCAAGTTGCTCAGCAGGTTGTTGCTAGGTAACTAAAGAGTTAGTTGATGCTACCAGTTTAGCTTAACTAGCTCTAGAGGTGCCTACATCCCAGAATGCTGTGCAGTTCTGGATCAGAGTTCAGTGAAATCACTGAAAATGATTTATCAATATTGATCACGTGTCTGATCGCAATAAATATTGTCATTGAATAATTATCCAACCGTAAGAAAAACCAAAGGAAATTGTTTGTTTTTGTTGGGGGGAACATGGTGGTGGCAGCATTATGCTTTGGGGAAGCTAGTTGGAGTTGTTGTAAGGAAGGATGGAGCTAAACACAGAGCAAAACTGGTAGAAAATCTGAATTACATTCAGGGTTATGGTGGTAATATGACAAAATGTTGAGGGGTGTGAATACTTCTGCGAGGCGTCGTGTCTGTTTTTGATTAGATTTATTTATTTATTTTCATTTTTCAGATTGTAAGCAGCACCTGTTTGAGCCTGACTTGAAGCTAGTGTGGCCCAGCGCTAAGCTACTCCAGGCAGCCTGCAGCGCCTCCTTCAGGGCAGCCCACAGCATTACAAGTGCTGTCATGCCCCCTCTGGTGGAGCAGTATAACAGCAGAACGCAGGTACAACAGACACAGCTGTGTGTTGTTGGGGGTTTTCTTAAAAAATCTTATTTTTATTTTTCTATATCAGTGAAATACAGGTTTTGTTGTCATGGTGACATATTGATCCAGGTGTTTCTCTGCAGTGTTCCCACAGGCGGACGCTGCTGGAGGTGGCACAACGATTCATCCAGTCAACTGCTTCATGTCAGTCTGTAGATCACGGTGAGGAAAGAGTTTCCCTCATTGCTATAGTCCAACCTTTTTGGTGACTTTGGAAAAGATTTGTCCAAAAATGCTTAAAGTAAAATGTTTTGGCGACTCGGTGACCCCAAGATGACCCCATGTCCAAATTGTGTAGGGGTCCTATTTTATTCAGTTTTAAAGAGCTTTTCAGCTCCAGTTAAGTCAAAGTAGAGTTTGGTTTGGTTTTCCCATCATCCTTTCACAATCTCACTTTGATTTCTGCTTCAACTGCAGATACACAAGCTTAGTTGAGTAGTTTTTTAAACTTTTTTCTAACGTCTGAAATGATAAGAGGCGCTGCTGCAGATTTAATCAGATTCTGAGTTCCCTTTAAGAAATGCAATAAAAGAAGACATAGGAACATGAGGGCTAATATTTATTTTCATTTATTTGCAGCCTTTCTGTCATTAGCAGTCATTATTTATAATTATTTAATTAATTATTGACATTAGGAGCAGAGGAGATGTCACCCTGAGCGAGAGAGGAGTCTAGCTGAATTTTTATTACAAACATGCGCAAAACTTTGTCGATATAACGCTAATGTTGATGAAACACAATTGTGCAATTGTGGTGTTGCTATTAAATAAAGTTAATAGTTAGTAGTTCATAGATAATAGTCGGTAAACATTATGATCCTCCGACCCCTTCCTGTCTTCTGCTATGGTGTTTGCGGTCGCAGCAACATCCGGTTGTTGACATTGTGAGGTGAAAAAATGTGTTTTAACTGCAGTTTTGTGAAATAAACCAAAATTAACCAAAAAAACCACCTCATCCTAGCGCCCAAACTTTTTTTTTATCCTAAAACGAGAGTTTTTCCAAACTTGGCATGTTTCCATGAAGCAAATTTATGTTTGTAACCTCAATTAGCACAATTCAGTGGCTAATAAAAACTACAGCTACTGTAAATCTGCTTCCTCTGGTGACCGTCTGCTCTCTGTCTCTCCAGATGAGAGCCTGTTTTCTGCGTATAAGGACTCCCTGTGCAGCTTGGTGTTCTCAGCTCTATCTGAAAGTAACTCCAGTCTGCAGATCACGGCCGCCTCGGTGCTCACCTCTCTGGCCCAACAACCAGGTGAGCAGCGCTCCACCCCGGTGGACCCGATCAGATCAGGACCGTCTAGAGGAGCTGAAACGCTCTTCTCCCCGCAGGTCTGCTGCTGGACTCTGACATCGAGCTCGCCGTGGACCACCTGACCAGGCTGCTGCTGACGGATGAGGACGAGAGAGTCAGGTCGGCTCCTGTTGCTTTGCCTCTCACGTTTGTGAGTCCAGTCTGTGATGGTCTATCTCCTCTGTGCGGTCAGTGTGGCCGTGGTGGAGTGCGCCGGAGCCTTGGCCGAGCGGCACCCTGCTGCCTTCATCACCAAACTGATCCCAACGCTGAAGAAGGAGATGTTTTCTGGTGAGCAGATGGAAGGAAGCCTGAAACGATTAATCGGATTAATGGTTTACCCTGCTGCCTGAAATAATTGTCAACTAATTTAGAAATTAACTGGAGTATACAGACTAAATAAATACATTTGGTGAAAGAGCAACACACTTAGGGCAGTAATTTAGCCAAAACAGTATACAAATATGTCTATATACATTTCACATAAAATCTTTTGTTAAGCACCTTTTGTTATCCAATTATTAATCACTTAATTCAAATAATAGTCAAAAAATCAGCTTTACACAGCATTGATATAAAACCAAGCAGTCAGGGATGAACCTTTCACATTTTTTTTAGCTGCAAATGCATTCATTGCTACAAATGATCAAATTTTCATTAACGTAATGCTTTGATTTTATATTTTAGGCAATAAAATGTTTCTTTTCTTATTAAGAAAGGAATTAAAATTTTTTATTAGTATTTTTTAAAATGTTTTTCTAAGACCGCATTTAAAAAGCCTCAAGTTCTTAAATATTTGCAGAATGTTCAGATTTGTATTTATTTATTTTTATTCTATTGTCAATTTAAAGCCTGTACTTTATTAATCCCAGAGGGAAAATAATTAATTTACCAAAAATTATTTGCAGCCCCAGATGAAAATATTCAGTTAGAAATTTGGTAGCTTTGCACTTTAAACAAATTTCTTTTTCCTCTTAAATTTAGACCAAACAGAGTTGTCTGAGGTGCGTTCCCATCATGCAGTGCGTCAGCGCTGCCTGTCCGCGCTGGCCGCGGTGTCCGTCCAGGGCAGCATCGTCATGGAGAGTGCGCCCGTCCTCCTGGACGTCCTCGGCTCGGCACACGCAGGTGATCCTCCTTCCACCGACTCTTCTGGAGTTAGGAAGTGAATGAAACGCGCTGAAGATATCGGGGTTTTTTTTATCCAGATCCTGATCGTTTCTCCGTGGATGAGGTGGTGCGCGCCTGTCTGAGCCTGCAGAGGATAGCGGAGCGGGTTGAGGACGGCAAGGACACAAGTCGATTCTTTCATGACGTCGTCGTCCCGCGCCTGCTGTCTCTGGCGCTCCAAGCTTCACTGCAAAGTGAGGGGCGGAGTTTCATCGACGCTCAGAAAAGTCGTCGTGATGAAACGGAAATAATTACTGTGTTTTCCAGGCGACGGGTCATCGGGTCGTCGTAGTCCGCTGGTAGCGGAGGAGATTCTGTCTGCCATGGTTCCTGTTATCAGCACCGCCTGCTCCCGCCTGCAAACGTGAGCATAAATACAATAAACTATCAAAAAAATGTTCATTTAGAAGAATCTGAAACCTGAGAATTAAAGGGGAAGTGTTTTGTGGAACTCACTTTTGAGCTTTACATCAACTTATTATGTTAGTTTCTCAGCAAAAACATACCTGGAGTGTTGCTTTGATTCTTTTATGAATCTGTGAGAAATCCTTTTAATTCTCCATGGCAACCATTCAGCTGCGCAAGATGCCTGGGTGGACATAGTCCCACTTTGGAGGACGAAGCTCCCGCAGTTACTAAACTTCTGAGCTTTTCCTACTGAAGCCCCCATTCAGTTCCTTCAGACTAGCGAGGGGCAATTAACAAACACCTGGTGGTAAAAACATGGATAAAGGGTCAATAGAGGGGCCATGTTGTGATGACTTCCTGAAGGCAGAGTTTCAGAAAGAGCAGGAGCTTCTTAAAGGGAGAGAGGTCCAATTTTGTGGCTTTAAATTACAAATTCAAATTTAATTTAAGTCACATTTATGTACTGTATTTTTACAACAACTGAAGTCAACACAGTTACTTGATAGCGTTATAAAATGCCACTATGTGCCTAGAAAATACACAATGCTGCCCCTTTACATTTCTTTTACTGCTGATTGTTGATTTCCCTCCTCAGTTTGATGTCTCTGTTCTGATGTCGGTGGCTTTTCATGCGGTTTCCTGTCGGGGTGTTTCCGTGTCACCAGGTTTGCAGAACAGACGGCGTCCAGGGCCGTCTCTCTCTTCCTGGACGGTGACGTCTCGTTTCTGCCCGACAACTCCTTCCCACCGCGCCTTCAGCTGCTCCAGGTAAAAGTCCCAGCCACTGAGTGGCATGAAGCTGCCACTCACTGATTTCACAGCAGCCAGTCAGTGAACTTTGTTCATACCACTAAGTAGATTTGGTTTCAGCAGAGTGTGTCAGCTCTCTTACCAAACAGGAAACTTGACATAGACACACTATATAGAAAAGCAACATGACTGAAAAGTGAAACTTTTAATCAGCACTGAAACGATGCTAAGTTGAACTGTGGAAAACATGGCAACAGTTTTACGTTTGGGAATCAAATATCTAGACAGGAGCCTGTATGGATGGGATGATCTTACTACTGGTAGTCAAATAATTTTCCGTATAACTATTTAAAATAACCTATTTTTAATATCTTCAATAAAAGAAACATTATTTGCCATTTAAAACCCACTCTGCTCAGTATGCTCAGTAAATGTGCAGAAAACAGTAAAGGCAGTTGCAGTTTTTAAAAAATCAATTTGGACCGAAATCTGAATTGGTGTTTAACCCCAAACTGGTTTAAAAGCTAACGTTACTTCAGTCAAAACATGCCATTCCCACAGCATGACTCTGCCACCACCTTGTTTTACCATAAGGACGGTATGTTCAGTGGAAATCAGAATGCAGGCATTTTAAATGAAATTATTTACTAATTATGTCATTTATTAAATGTTATCAGCTGTATTTTGTGTCAGCATAGTTTTTAAAGCATTTTTGTTAAGTTAATTTTTCATTTTTCCTTATACTGGTGCGCTGCATTGGGTTGGTTTCCAGCATTCAAATCCATTGAAATATGTTGAGGTTTCTTATTGTAGCAAGTCATAAGAATACTTTTATCATCTTTGTACCTTATTGGAAACATTGGAGTTTGTGTTTGAAGTGTGTTATTATATTCACCCCAGCAGCAGCAGCAGGAGCAGCAGGAGGATTCATCGTGGCGTCAGACCCAGTTGGTGTGTCTGCTGATGGCCTGCGTGTGTTCGTTACCTCGCAGCGTGAGTCTCAGCCCAAACTTTGTTTCTGATTTTTTTTACAAAAAAAAAAAAAAAAAACTCTTGTGAAGCTGAAAGCGCTGCGTGTGCCCTGCAGGTGGCGCTGCCCCAGGAGGAGCGGCTGCTCTCGGTGCTGGAGGAGCTGAGCTGCAGCTGCAGACACCCGCTCTCCTACACGTCGGCTGCCAAATGCTTCGCCGGCCTGGTCAACAAGAAGCCTCAGGGTGCGTCTGAGCGTCAGGTTTTTATCTGAAACATTTAGCCTGTGATGATGATGATGATGATGATGATGATGATGATGATGATGATCTGTCTGCAGGGCCTTCTCTTGACAGTTTAATTCAGGGAGTGATAAAGAGAGTGAGCAGTGAGTTGGACCGACCCTCCTCCCCTCTGCGCTCTCAGGCCTTCACGCTTCTGATCTGGGTGAGAATCTCTCAGCTGAAACTTCATTTTCTCATGTTTTATTTCTTTCACACATTATTTGCACTTCTTTAAAAAGCCTTAAACTCATACATCTCAAATGAAGACCTGGAATGCCTTAAATTTATTAAAGAAAATGTTAGTCACCCTTAAATATGTCAACCACAGGTTATAAATTGCATCATGGTGATGTAGGTTTGTTTTTTCTTCCTGGACTTTTGTATCAGGCAAAAGTTTGAGCTGCACACAGACATCATCACTGCATTCTGTGACATGAGGTGATGAAGGCAGCTGGTAACAAGCTGCTAATGCTTGTTAGCTAGCTGGCTTGCGTTTTGCATTCATCAAATTCAGATTTGTTCATGTCTTAAATGGGCAGCTAGCAGGATAAATCAGTTTCACAGTTTTGGTTCCCTGAAAAAGAAAAGCATTAATTTTCTTCATTTGTGCCGCGCTACAGTGTGTGTTTTATTCAGAATGGTCTTAAAAAGTCTTAAGTCTGATCTGGTGAAGCCTTTTAGAAACCCTGCATAAAGAGCACACCGTTTTATTTTTCTCCTGAAATCGTGTTCAGGTTGCCAAGGCTCTGCTGCTGCGGTACCACCCTTTATTTCCAGCGCTAACCGACAAGGTGAGAACAATGTGAGCTATGAGTTAAAAAAAAAAAGTAATAAGTTCTGAAGAACCTGACCGGCCCTGTGCAGGTCTTCTCTCTGCTGGACGACGCCCTCCTCGGCCCAGTGGCCGCTGACAGCTTCTCGCTACTGATGAGCGACTCTGCCGACGTCCTGAACCGCGGTTGCCACGCCGACGTCCGCATCATGTATCGGCAGCGGTTCTTCAGCGAGAATTCTGCCAAGCTGGTGCAGGGCTTCAACGCTGCGCCGCAAGGTTAGACAAACATCAACACTCATCAGTGGCACTGATCTCACCTGAGTTGCTCTGACTGGTTGCAGCACACAACTTGAAAACATGACCTAGATGCGCAAGTTAGAATTTTTTTGTGAATTTTTCTATCTTACTTGCACGGCGTCAAAATGATTCATGCAAACTTTCTTTGATCTGATGTGAAAGTTTCAGTCAAACTGTTGATTCTTGGTCATCATCGGGTTTTCAAACATGTTAAAACTGGATTTGGACGAGATAAAGTAGACATTCAGCTTCTAGAATGGTTCAATTGAAACACAGTGTAGTCAAATACTTCGCCACACTCGGCTGTGCAAAACACCTGGGTGGACGTAGGCCCGCCTTCGAGGTCCAGCAGGAAGCAGTTTCCGAGCTTCTGCCTCACAGAGCAGACTCTCCCTCATGACTCCTCCACTCAGCTCCTTCAAACTAGCCAGCATTCATTAGCAGACACCTGGTGGATGATGTAGCATCTCGTAGCTCCTACGCAGTACTATTTGGTTAGTACTGCCCCTTTAAATTAGGAACATTGTGTGTAATCCTGCTTGTGTATGCAAACTTGTGACAGCGTGTTTTTTTGTTTTTGTTTTTTATAACTGGAGTGTGTTGTTTTGTTTTTCTCTCTGGTCTTTTGGCTGCCTAACAGAGAAGAAAGCCAACTACCTGAAGGCTCTGTCCAACATCGTCAACAAGTTGCCGAAGCAGGTCCAGGTGTCTGAGCTGCCGGCTGTAAGGTCCACACATTCCCTCTCTGGAAAACAACCAGACCTCTCATCTGGCCTGCCAATCGGTGTGACGTGTTTTTTGTCCAGCTCCTGACTCTGCTGCTGGAGGCCTTGACGTGTCCTGACGAGGGAGTCCAGCTGTCCACTCTGTCCTGCCTGCAGCCCGTCCTCATAAACCCCCCGCAGGTCCTGATCCTGCAGCTGGAGGCCCTGGTCGGCCGGCTGCTGGCCCTCGTCGGCAGTCCAGCCATGGTGAGGCACCGTTTCCTGTAGGAAAGCGATGCTGCTTGCTTTACTAAAACAGGACGATTCCACCAACCAATGACTGAAGTGTTTTCATTTAGTTATTTATTTTGTGCTTTGCTTTTTTCCTTCCCAGAAAATCCGCATGGCCTCCATACGATGCGTTCTCGCTCTCTCCCATTTCCCGGCTCACGAGGTAACCAACACTCTGAAGCTGTTTCTGTTTAAGACCAACAGATTAGTAATATTTAGATTTTATATTATTATACAGACTCATTTAGATCATAAAACAGGGGGAAAACAATGTCAGTCTTTTTGGGAAATAGTGAGGCAATCATAGATCTGAATTCTCTGAAAGAGAGGTCAGTTTCTCTTCATTTGTTTCCTTTTTTTCTTTCTCACTTCATGCACTTCAGTCATTTCTTTTCTCATTTTATTCCTTTTCTTCTTACTTTATTGCTCTCTTCTTTCTCAGTTTATTCCTGTTGTTCTGTCTTCTTTTTGACTTTATTCCTAGTCCTGTTATTGAACTCATCCATCCTTTGGTTTGTACAGTTTTTGTATTTAAATCCGGACTTCAGTAGAAATATCTGCTCTTCACAACAAACCTTTGGAGTTATACTTTTAAATAAGACGAATAAATGACCATCTGAGTGTGTAAATAAATGAGAAATTCAAACACAAAACACTGGCAAGCAGCATGTTGTCAGCTGTACGTCCTAAACCATGTGTGTGTGTGTGTGTGTGCGCGTGCGTGCGTGGTGAAGGTGTTGCCATTCCGGTCGCGCGTTCTGCGAGCGTTGGCTCCGCCCCTGGATGACCGGAAGCGGCTGGTGAGGAGAGAGGCGGTCCAGGCCAGAGCGGAGTGGTGAGGTCACATTGTTTCAGCCCCAACCGGCTCGTTCCGAAAACGTCCTTCGTTTCCATAAACTCAGAAAGAAAGCCTCAAACGCTCATGATAATCCGAGTGGTTGATTTTGTTCCGTTTCCCTGCAGGTTCCTGTTAGGAAGCCCTGGTGGAAGGTGATCTCTGTCTGTCCATAAAAACCTCCAGGACCAAGTAGCAGAGCGCTCTGCCTACCTTCTCCTCCTCCATTCAGAAAAGTGTTTGCTTTAGCGGTCTGACTGCGCGCACACACACACACGCACACACACACACAGCCTGGTGAAGCATTTTATGGATCCAGTCAGCCCTGACTGGAAGCCTCACCAGAAGCCATGCGGCGTGTCACAGACGCTGCCTTCTGAATTTTATAAATCATAACTTGCGCAGACAACCAAGCCACAAAGCATCTGTTGTTTTTGTTTTTTTTTTTTTTTTTTTCTTCTTTGGATGAAATGTCCTGAAGCTGAAGACATTTTGTTCAGCGCTTCATTGTTGAACATAGCAGGTTGTTAATACAAGCCTTTTTATTGCTATTATTATTATTTTATTAACTAAGAAGCAATAAAGCAGTTTGAGTTTCAGTGATCTGTAGATTCCTCCTTTTCGGTATTTTCTGCTGGTGTCGGCTGAAAAGCTTCAGAGATGAACTTTATTTAAGCCCTGTGCAGCTCCGGACGCCTCACACTGACAGCCTGCGCCGTCGCTCTGAATGTTCAGGACGTTTGAACGGATTCCGCATGATGGAGATTGTTGTACTTCGTAAAGTTCTGTGTGGACTGGCGCAGGAAGTGTTGTTCGTTTGCCTGGTTTTCTGTGGATATTTAAGCGTGGTTGTTGTGTGAAGGTCGCCGTTGAGTCGGTGAGAATGTTTGGACCTCAAAAAGCTCTGCCAAGGAAATACGGCGCCTCGCAAAAGTATTCACACCCCTCGGACGTTTCTCCTCAGCCAGACTTTGATTTTTTTATTTTTTTTTTTCTGTTGGAGCAACAAAAAATTATTTTGAAATAAAAAAATAAGTTTTCAACTTTAAATAACAAATAAATAAAGGTCAGAGGCCAACTTTGTCAACAGTCAAGTTAGCTTTTACTGTACTAGCATGTCTTACTAGAGATTCTCATTTACATGGCCGGTTCTAGACGGTACTGAAGTTAATTTACTTCTGGTCATACGTGCTGACGTAGAGACTGTCACTAATTGTTTCCTTTGACCAGTTGTATTTTTGTCTCTTCACAGGTTTTAGTTTATCAATAAATTAAAACTGAAGGTGTTTAAGCCACTTTGAGAAATCTATAGGGGTCTGAAACCTGCAATTCAAGAGCTAATCAATCCCGGCAGGTTTTCAGAATAAAAAAAAAAACTAAATTGTAATCAAAATTGCTTGGGTTTGGTGCTAATTTACAAATGTTTGCAATGAATTTCATGATATTTTAAGATATGTTTGATAGCAAATCAGACTTTTTGGTACTTTCCATATCAATTATGGACTGTACCATGAGTTAGGCTGATGCAGTGGCGCCATAGAAGAAATAGTGCCATCTGCAAGTTTGAGTTAGCAATCACTTAAACCAAATGTTTTTGTGAAAAATGTGCATTAAACTCACAACTAATGCATTTGTGCAATTTCTGAATTGTTTCTATGTTCATTTCTACGAGTGCAGAATCATAAAAAAAAACTGGATCTGCTTGACATATTAAACAGTGAAATATTTCATGTTTTTTTGTTTTCATGTATTTGTTCTGGCTCTCGCCCCGGCTCTCTGGTAAATACCATCTAGAGCCGCCACTGCTCTTTCACGCTTCAGTGTGGACTTTGACTGGGCCATTTTCCATTTTTTGTGTGTGTATAACTTGAAGTTACCAAGAACATTGTTGGATAGGAAAAATGTTGACTATGGAACCAGCTGGACGTTTTCTTGACTAGATAAAGTATTTCACTGTTACAGTGGCGTGGGCATTAGCCCCGCCCAGTCAGCATCTCGGTTATGTCATGTGAAGAATTAGCCTCAATAACATGGATACACTTCGATCTGACCAGCTACGTCAAATTTCCAATGTTAGTCATTTAACTTCCATATTATTGTGGCTCTTCCACGTTTTGTTTTTTTGTTGTATTTTTTTGTGGAGACAGAGTCTCGGCGAAACGAGAGGGTTCAAGTTTGTGAATACTGCCGCGAAGCGCTGCAGACAATGACGAATGTCTAACTTTGTTTTATTAAAACTCTTCTTTGTAAACTGACTGTATCTTTGTCTTTTATCAGCACAACATGAAGACAATCGATAGCAGAAAATAACAAAACTTGATTTATTTTTTTTTAAAAAGAAGAGAAAGTGGAGCACAGCTCCTATTGGTTACTGATTACATCAGAATCTCTTGTCACAAACATTCAAATAGGAAACTGAAATGAAAATGTCTCCATGGGAATATTTCACAGTGCATTATTTGCTAATATGAACTGCCTTGTTTACAAAACCAAAGGAGCAAAAAAGACTTGTTTTTAAAAATCAAAAGAAAGCCAGAAGGAAAGGAAGTGAGTTCATCATGTTTTCCTTTCTTTGGCACCAGGACACATCATGTCAGTAGTGCGGAATGTAACCCCCGAACGCCCCTCTCTCTCCTCAAAACGTAACATAGAAAGTTGCAAACAAATATTAAAAATCCTCAAAATGACTCAAAACTTGGATCTGCAGCAACCAAAGCATCTCAAGTTGAGTCATGTTCAGTTCCCAGAATGCATCAGAGCACAGCTCCTCCTCCGACGTGGTCTTGCTGCTTCGGATGTGAGGGGAGCAGAGAGGTCAGATGGCCATGGGGTCGCTGCTGGTGGAGGGCCCGGGCCACATGAGGCCGTCCCCGCTGGGCGGGTGGCTGGAGGGCAGCAAGACCCGGGTCAGCCAGTGGCTGAGGGAAGGGGAGGGGGGGGCGAGGGGGAAAAGTCTCATCGTTTCAACAGAGATGACTCAGAAATATTCAGACAACAAGAAAACAATATCAGTTTATTAGGAAAGAGCAGGAAATGCTAACTGTGATGAAGGTTTTAGAACAGGCAGTGTGAGGGGCAGCCGTCATTAGGCCATCAGCTGGGTTGGGAATTTGATTTGCGTTCATTTCTGCTTGGACTCAAAACATTTTGGCACTTTTTAAAAGTTCTGAACCAATATAAATCCTTCTTGGTCCACAAAGGCCTAAAATTATGGAGGGAACTTACCGTTCAGTTTGACGTTTTGAAAAATAAATCACAATTTATTCCTCAATTAATTTGCTCTCTAAATTGATATTGCAACAGATACGGTCAGGTCAGAATTAAGACTCTTAAAACCGAATCCTTGACTCTTATTTGGATTTATTCTTTCTTTCCTCAAACACTAACTTTCTTCCCTTCCGTTTTTCCTTCCTTCTTTCTTCATTTCCTTCTTGGAGCCATAACTTTCTTGTCTCCTTCCTTCCTTCCTGGATCCATTCTGTCCTTCCTTGCTCCCTGACTCTCTTCCTTCCCTCTGCCCTTCCTCTGCTTTCTCTAGCTTTGATGCGTTCAGAATTATTAAACCAACATATGAAGATGTTTTGTTGCTCTTGGTCTCACCTCCTTGTTTCCACTCCAAAGAACAGCTTCCAGTTGTTCAGGCGGCCATGATGGTACGGGTTTCTGAACGCCTGACAGGGAGAAGAGGAACCGTTAGAACAACAGCAGCCATTGTTTGTTTGTTCTAAATCATGTCTCTTGAAGTAATCCAACGGAAAAAAAATGTTTTATGAAGAACAAATTAATATTCAATTCCATTCATGGCCAACAGTACCTTGCCGTTGCCCTGCAGCCGTCTGGCCTCCTTGCGGTTGATGTGACGCTCCACGCTGGTCTCTCCTCTGCTGATCAGCTTGGCGTGCCACAGGGTCAGTCCGCCCAGCGCCACCGCCACCGAACTGCAGAACCAGCGGGTCAGAGCGGATCAGGAGAGCCGTTACCAAACTGCCAACTCGCTGCAGGAAGTGGTCCAGGTTCTGTGCAGAGCGCCGGCTCACCTGGTCAGGACCCAGAGGAAGATGATGCACTTATGGCCAACGCTCTCTCTGGGGCTCAGATCTGGAGGCGGAGTCTGAAAGGAAGACTTAAATGGAGACAGGAAGTACTTTAGACTGACGGCCAACACGGCGCCGCTCAGCTTCCACATGTTATGCTAGCTCTGATTTGTTCCTTTTCATGACTTTTGCTCATTTGTTTTCATGTTCAGACAATTATTCCTTCTGGTTTTCTAACTCTTTATCTTTCCAACAAATAGCATGGTGTGTAACCGTGGCAACACAGTTGTTTTTCCAATTGACAGAAGCTAATTAGCGTCTCAAAAGCTCAAATAACCCAAAGTACGACCCCAAACCCCACAGTTAAAAAGAGGAGCAGCCAAAGCCAAGGATGATTGTCATCGCTTAGCAACAACTGATGATGTCATCCAGGACATATTTTTTGGAATATCATTTTAGGTGTTAGCATATGATATTGTTTTATGAATACTGTACAGCATTTTGGCGCAGTTAATGTTTTTAAAGTGCTTTATAAATAAAATTGACACGACAGCAGCAGTCTTCAGTCAGAGGCCTCGAAGGATTCCTTGCAACACTGACTGCTACTGGAGATCCTCCTGTTCACAGTGAAGGTACTTGGAAGAGACAAGTTATGACAATATTTAATAACCGTTTGGAATAAATGAAAGTATTTTTTGAAATTATTTAAACTGAATTCAAAAGTGTGGCCCAGGGCCCATTTGGGAGTGTCACCCCCCCAATCCCCACCCCCAGTTCAAAAATTTATTAATTTATGATACTAATTTATGAATTATTTAATTTTTGCACTGTGAATAAATGAGTTGTTTAAATCAGCCAGTTCTGGATGCCGCGATCTAGAACTTTATGAAGGTGCAGTGAAGCTACTGTAAGATAAGCTAATTTGGACAAAAACAGATGAATAAAACTAAATGATCACATATGATTAAGCTGTTTTTTTGTTTTTGTGCAGCGCTGACCTTAATCACATGGCCAGCGTTGTTTACTTCTCAGCTTTTCAGATCCTTAATCAGACGTAGATATGAGAACAGGATCATTTCCAGGTGTCCTGTTTCTATCTTTGCCCTCCATCTGAGATCAGATTCTGCCTTCCACCTCACAGGTGCTGTCGCTCCAAACATCTCATTAAAGCTCCTTGATTGAAACAGGCCCCACCTCGGGACAGAGGTCATGCACGTTTACTATCCAGAGCCTACAGCTCCCGGAAACGTTTGACTGGAGCCACAAAAACCATAAAAAAAAGGTTATCAAGTTGTTTTATTGAAGAATCATGACTGTAAATTTATGTTCAGATTTGAGAGTATCAAGCTTTAAAAAAAAAGAAAGAAAAGAGAACAAAGGTTGCACCGATTGCAGGTTTATGAGCCTGACCTGCTGATTCTCTCATCCATGTTTGAGAAATTCTTTAATAATACTTTAAGTTTCAATAGAGTCATCAATCATACTTTGTTGATCCTAAAGGGCCCAAAAAAAGGTTCTGGAGATCAAACTAAGTGGATCTCTGGATTCAAGTCAGTAAATGGAGGTAAAGCGCTCCGAACCTTAACAGAACTCACCTCTATGATGCTGTAGGCGTCCAGGAACAGGTTCCTGCTGCTGATGCTGCAGTAGACGCAGCCCAGGGTCATGTAGAGGCAGAAGGAGAAGAAGTAGCGATGGTTCAGGTGGCCGACGCAGTTGTTCAGCCAGGCTGGCGATGTGTTCAGGTCAAACGCTCACAGTGGGTTCAGAGAGCCCGCAGCGCTGCCAACGCTTTCATGCGCCGCTGTCTCACATGTTCTGCGCGGCTGAAAGGATACGACAGTGATGGTCCATCTTCAGGACGCACCTGCAACACAACAGAAACAGCTCTGTGACATACAGACGGGCTGACCCGGCTCAGCGCCCGGGAGGGGAGACAGCAGCTTACAGGCTGCAGATGCTGCAGTGATGCGTCCGCGGCGGTTTGGGGGTGATGCATTTCTTGCAGATGGAAACAGACGGAACGTCGCGTTTGTCCTGAAACACACAGACGAGGGACAGACTTTACCGAGACAGTAACGGTCCGCGAAGCCTCGGAAAGACCAGGAATGGACGATAAATTGTCCCACAAATTATTGTGATAAACATGAATATTGTTTGTTGTGGTATATTTCCAAGTAATAAATTGACAATGGCATCACAATGTAAGCTTGCCATCTGTTTATATACTTAACTTAAACTGGAGGATGTTTGAAATATCCGGAATAAAACACAATTAACAAGAAATAAAAAAGGAATTAAAGTCAAACGCAACCAAAATCATAAATAAAATGGATTGTGAAGTCTGCACACTAAATTGCTCTTGAAGAAATATGAATCATGACGATGGACATTAAAGAGGTCAGCTTTAGTTTGGTCTATAATGCCGTCTGCAAAACAAACGTTATTCCAGTAACAATTTACATGAAAGGGTTTCTTATGGCATGACTAAAGACAAGTGAAGACACTTGTTATGAAGTGTCATTTGGTAAATAATGACATTTTTAATGCAAAGTTGCATTAAAATTGGCATTTGTTTCATCTTTACATTATAGGCGTCATTATTTGCCGAATGACTACTGAAAACCTTTGCGAGGTTTGGGTGTGTTATGGTGGACGTAGCACCTTGGGTGGGTGTCCAGGGGAGGTGGTGGTGGCCTTGTAGTAGTGGAAGACCACCAGGATGAGCAGCCAGTGGCCGCAGCAGATATGCCAGGCGATCCAGTGAGCGGGGTACGAGGAGAAGATGGTTGGTAAGACAAACAGGTAGACGATGATCACCACAGAGGACGTCAGCAGGACCACCAGGCACACGAACACCTGGAGGGGCCCGGGGAAAAGAGAGGCGCTGAAGAGAAACCAGAGCAGAGTCAGGGCCAGTCGGTTGCAACAGAGAGCTCACCACTCCAAACCAGCGGGTGACGTTGTCCACGATCCAGTAGACCGGCTCGAACGCGCAGTCCAGCAGCGTGTCCGAGTTGGTGAGGCTGTTGTAGTAAAGGGAGCGGAGCAGCAGCTTGCCGTACCTCCACGCCGCCGACAACCTGACCCCGACCCGACCTCCTCCTTCCTGCGGGCGACACAGCCGGCGCAGGGTCAGCGCCCGCCGCATGGCCCGGGAGAGCTGCCACCTCCAGCTGCTGCCCAGACGCATGCCACCGCTGGCCGCTCGCCTCCA